TTTACCTAAAAACACTCCACTGTATTGATGCTTTAATCCAGTGAAGGAAGGCTCAAGGCTCACATATTTTCAATAAGTAAAAGAACAGTCTCAATTACTGAGATTATGCTTAGTGTATCCAGCAAAAATGCTAATTAATTTAACAAAAATTAACATGTACCATATTTTAAGCCTAGATAAGATTTCAAAAATAGCCATAGAAATCTAAAAATGTCAACTTGGTCCCTCTTTGGGGGAAGATTCTGCTGGCTAATGCCATGGAAGGCTAAAATAACTGTAGGCTTTATTGTGCAAGTTTGATGTTTGGTCCAGGTAGGTGAAATCGTGATGTTCTTAGCCAAGGGACATTTTCAGTGATCTCTTCCAGGCACAAACCCAGAAAAGCAGAGTCAATACATCATCCACACCTTCTTTATTAATTCTTTCCACTGGAGATTACGTTAGGAAATAATAATTCCTCGTTGTTTGTTTGACAGAGTTTGAATGCCTGACTGGCCAAATTAAGATGAGACATTATAGACCAGGCTCTGTCTGAAAGGTTAATCAATAAAACAGAGGCCTCTGGTAGAAAAACTACTGTTTCAGAAAAAGAAAATGGAGTATTGTAATTGTTTTGTTCTACTTCAGTAATTCTGTGTTTCATGGCTGTTTTCAGCAAAGAGCAGATGGAAAACTGAGTCATGGATCAAAGGTATATCACACTTTATAGGAACTAATTTTTCTGTTTTACAAGAAATATAAACTAATATTCATAAAATTTAGACAGAAAAATGTGTAAATCCACCGAAAAAGAAATGTGAAAGTGTATTGTCTCCTAAAAATGCATTTTATTGTTCCCTCTGAAAGCAAGATATTGAAAATAGCTTAGCTTCAGAGCTGTTTTTCACTATTGTGGCTTATTGCCCACAATTAGCTGTTTCTGAAGCGCATTCCAAAGCTCTTGTGTTCTTTGCTTCTCCTACAGACTGCGAAAGAAATTGCTGCCTATTGTGAACCATTAAGTTTTATATTTGGTTTGCTATAGGAAAAAATATTAACAGTATCTCCTGCTACCTACTATTCTTACCGTAGGAAAGATGGAGACATGTGGATTGCCTCTGTGCTTTACAGAAGCCTTAAAAGACCGATAAGTTTCCAGAGAACTGGCATGGTACCTGAAGAGCTACCATGTGCATTTCTGACAGCTGCTTCTGTAGCTGACAGTTTACATTGACCTTCTATAACAAATAGTTTCCGTGGTCCCTGCTCTCTACAAAAATGAAAATATGACACTGGGACAGAAGAGAAAGTCTTCTGTGACCGAAGTATTTTTTGGGCTGCACATTGTGCATGGGATTCATCTTACCTGACTTCTGTTTTCAACAGTGTGACCTAGTTCATTTGGATGCCTATATACTGGGGTGAATTAGAAATTTTAAGGCACCGTTCATTTGATCAGTTCTAAATATCTATTTTGTCTGTCTGAGTGGCTTAGCTATAAAGCTGTAGTGTCTGTGTTTCAGCTCCTAATATTTGATCAGATGAAACCTATCTTCTGTAATTTATATCCTGAGCAATCTGGATAAAAGATGTTTGACGAAAAAAAGTCATGCAAGCAAAGTTACATGAGTCTCATGTGCACATGAGGTAGGGAATATGATACAGGCTCCTTTAGCAGGATGTTGGTTGCATTCATTAGCACATGAAATTAATGTAGTTCAAACCTGATGTTGTTAACTCTTGGTACCACTTTGTGACTACTGAATATCTGATGATGGATATTCAGACTTGAAGACTTACGGGGTGCTGAACAGTCTGTATACTTGTACTGGAGCAGAATGAAAGCATTTGATCCTAACAGATTGGACCTGTCTTGGATCTGGGTCTTCACCCCCTGAAAATTCCTAAAACGCTTATAATACAGGGTCAAATCATTATAGAGGTAACATCATTTTTGCATAAAGGTTTCACTTCCTTTGGAGAAGGAAATGAAAGAAGAGAAAATGGGGCGGGGGGGGAAAGAAGACTGGTGATGAAGGAAAATGAGCAGAGAAACCACTTTTCTAATCATAATTTTATTTGAAAGTATAATTTCATTAAATTTTTTTACTTTCTTCTTTTATAGCTAGAGGCTTTACTCTTCATCCAGGGTTTTATCATCTGTTAGGTATTTAATGTATAATTTAAATAAATGATAGAAAAATAAACCCACTAGTGATAAGAATGAAGGCTCTGTCTATGAAATAAAAATTCAGTGTTCACTTCTCACCTTATAAAATTATGAAGTTTTGCTCCAGTCACATTTGTAATTGTTCCCTACCTTTAGGTGTGAAAGTCATTATTGGTTGTCAAAAGCTGTTGAAATATAAAAGCTGACCTGTAAATATTATTATTTGCTCTTATTTTGCAATAGAATAATGTAAACAGCAAAGCAAATTAACATAGAGTATAGAAGTTATAAAATGCAGGTTTTGTTCTTTTGAGTTTTTAAGTTCCTGCCTGCCAAAAAGCCTCCTTCAAAAGTGTCCATTAATCCTAAATAACAACTTAGAGGAAATATGGACCATCTGGAAAAGTCTTTTTCATGGGAAGAACAAAGAAATGTATGGTGCTAAGTCTTGGTGTACATTTTTGTCAAGATGGAAAGAGCACATCATATACTTTATTTTGGATATGTTTTTGACCATCTCACTTGCTGAGCAAATCCTGGACTTTAGGAAGCTTGGAAAGTTAATTAATAATAATAAGGACCTGGATCATTCCTCTTGATAGGAATATTCTCTTTGCATCAACTCTTCATGGGAGCATTTTTGTTAGGGGGATACTTACAGTAAGTTCTCTCCATCCCTACTGTGGCAGGTGGGCATTATCCTGTTTCCTCCAGAAGGCTATTAATTTTGGCAACATCCAAATCAACCTCTGAAGCTACTGCTGTCCATTCTTTGACTCAAAATGGCTTCAGCTGTAGTGTCATAACTTACAGAACCTTGTTAAGCTGGAATCGAAGAATCAACGCACATGGCAAGGTATGAATGACACAATGCTCTTAAGCCTATAGCTTATCACTGTTATAAAATGTTATAGTTAAAAAAATTAAGACAACTTGGGATTTCATATTCATCTTAAATATGTCCAGTTTTGCTTCAGTTCCCTGTCTCTAGTGTGTTTGAAGACCCCCTGAACAAAATGGAGGTGTTTATCCCTGTTTAAATCTGAACATCTCTCCCAGATGCCTAAGCTGGAGCATTAGTCCTTCAGAGTCCTCTCAGTCCACTCAGTAAAGTGAACAGAGAAAATCAATCCTTCAGGGAGTGAGGTGGAGAACCTAACAGATGCAATCACAACATTACAGAAAACAGCTCTTCTTTAAGTCAATAGCAACCTTATCCTTCTCTTTCTCAAAGATCTCAGATAAGGATCACTTTTAAAACCAGAATTATCGTTTAGGTGATAGTGGTAAAAAAGACATTCACTGACTTTGTACTCTGCCTTTTCGTAATTTTTGCAAACTGTCTTGCAGGTTCAGAAAAAACCTGTGAGTTTCTGCATACTACCTGTGAAAAGAGACTTTTACAATAAAGATACTACAGAAAGAATGCTTTGTGCCTGTAACATCAGTTCCTGTAACCAGGAGCTGAAGCAGTTCTTCCTCTTAAGTGCTGAGTATTTTGTTCTCAACTCAGCAAGGTACTAATATGAGAGCTCAATGTTAATTATGTGATCCTAAAGCAGGAAAATGTGAGTGGGAAACTATGTCCATGTCCCTTATGATGGAAGCAGAAGCTGATATAAATGAACACATATTTTGAGCTTTGTAGTGCTAAAAATATCTTGTCTTTATAAGCCAGAACTGATAACCAATGACTGACAACCAGTTAATTGTGAACGCCAAGTGCTGAATTACAGTGCCTTTTTCAGTTGAAGCTGCATAATATCTAAACGGGTTCTAAAATAGTACTAACAACAAATAGAGGATTTGACAATCAAGCATTCAAATAAAACTTCATTGCAACAAGTATAGTGCAGCTGATAAAATTAGGGGTTCCATTTTCATCTCATAGAAAAAAGATTTTTATTGTTTTGTGTTTGGGTGTTTTTAAATATATGAAACCTAAAGTGGAACAGAATTCCCAGCCTCTACTTTAGAGTTAGTAATTTCTTATCCCATTGGAGATTTTTTTATTTAAACCACAAACTGAACTCACATTAATCAGTATATAAAGGATTTGAATTTGTATCTCCTACATCTCAGCATTTCTCATGAGAATTACAGAATCATCAGATTGTTAAATTTGGAAGAGACCTCTAAGATTATCAAGTTCAGCCAACAACCTAGCATCACCACTGTTCACAAATAAACCATGCCCTTCAATGCCATATGCACACATTTCTTTGAACACTTCCAGAGTTGGTGACTCCATCTCTTTCCTGGGCAGCCTACTCCAATGTTTGACAACTCCTGTGAAGAAATTTTTCCTAATGCCTAATTTAAACTTCCCCTGGTGCAACTTGAGGCAATTTCCATTAGGCTCTTAGACATTACAGAGATGTTTCAGTTGTGTTTTCTACTGGACTTAGTCTGGCATATAATTTCCCAGGATATTTACTAATCAGCCTTCCCTGACAAAACTAGAGGAATGCCCACTCCTACCTTGAAAATCAGCACCATCAGGTTTCCTGTAAGTCTGTGAATAACAAGCTGCACCATAGGAGGCCCTCAGGGCACTTTTGGCATGCAGCAGTTGCCTTGGGAAGGAAGGCTGAGGGAGATGGTCTATTTTAACCCAGAATGCACAAGGTTTCCATGAGAGTTCCTACCAGCTTTCCTGTGCAAGAGGAGGTTGACAAGAGGGAGACAGTCTCTTTATGGAAGCAGTTCACAGCAGAATAAAAGCTGATGGTCATGAGTTGAAACAGGGCAGTTTCTGGCTGGGAGTATGTAAGGGAACATTTCTTTTTTTGTGATTCAGGCAGCACAGTGGGGTTGGGCAGCCTCCATTCTTGGAGGTCTTCAAGACCAGAATAGCAAAGCAATATGAACAACCTGGTCTGATTTAACAGCTGAATCTGCATGGAGCAGGAGGTTAAATTAGTTAGACACCTCCTGAGGTTGTTTCCAAGTGGGATGATTTTGTGACTCTGTGATTCTGTGAACTGTATGGAAGAAGATGCACACTTTTGAGGGGGGTAAAACAAACCCGATGTGCTCTTTGACATGGCAAATTGTTATGATATGAAAGAGTCAAAGCTATATATGTTTATTGTTTATATATGATTAGAAGTGCCTTTTTGTTTTGAAATTCTATGATTTGACATTTGAAGTATGTTATATAATTTATAAAATGTTAAAAGCATTACAAGTGTAACATATAAAATACAGATGAAGATACCACAGCCTCAAGGTAACCCATTATAAGCCAGAAATACTTGTGGAAATATCACAGTATTCTAGAGAGCTATACTGTGCAAACAGATCTCTATTCTTAGTTGACAGATGTAGAGCAAAAATATGTAGTTAGACAACTCCTTAAACACTGCACATGTAGGTGTTGCAGGCAGCAAATTATTACAGATAAAATCATAGTAAACTGTGATTAGCTTGCTTCTACTTCATCATTTTTCTGACAATGTATCATAATTTGATAGCATATTTTTTTATACCGTTATGTCTGTATGAGGAAGGCTTCAGATTAAAGACATTGTACTTCAGAAAAGGACAAACAGACCTGAAGAGCTGCTCTGTTGGGAAAAAAATATATACATAAGTTGTATCTAGTAGGGTGCAAACATGAGTATGCAGGAAACTTTTACTTTGCTTTAGCTCCTGAAATTTGTGACATTTGATATAAAGCATGGTGTAACAATAGAAATTACTTTTGTAACTTGCTGTATTTGCTGTGGAGAAGTACTTGTTAGTCTTGTGAACCTTAGAAATAACTGCACTCAACAGCTGACACTGAAGTCAATCAGACGACAGAAAAAATGTCTCTGAAATATCCAACTTCTTGTAAAAACTGGTTATGAGCAGGTCACTGCCAGAGGACCACCTGCAGTCAAAAATAATTATAGCACAATTTTTTGTTTGGCTTTAACTCAGAACTAACTTCACTGCTTCGGTCAATTACTGGAGGGGTAGAAAGGCAAGGAGAGCTTTTTTTGAAATGAGAGCTTTACATGAAATGCCTTGCAGTACGTTCAAGTCTCATTTAATCATAGAACCATTAAGGTAGGAATAGATGTCCAAGATCAAATCCAACCTTCATTTACATAAACCTTCACTTTTGCATTCTGATACAGTGAAGAGGTTTATGCTGTTTTACCAGGAGGAAGTGGGATCATCCCTAAGCCATTGAATTTGGCAATGTGAAGGCCATTTGGAGCCTCTGCATGTCTGGGATTTCATAGCTGCATTGAAGTCATTTGTTGGACCTATGTACCTTTCCATTCCCCACTATGCTAGATGATGAAGTTTGTCAGTCTAGAAGGAGCTTATTTAATCCCCACAATCATTATGTGATATTCTGTTAAGATCAGGCTTCGTATGGACATTTTGTAGTGCAAAATGATAAGCTAGATTTTGTCTACTACATGTTTTCTTTTAAGTTCGCACTTTAGTATGAAAATATTAATGTGGTGCTTTCAGACTAGCAGCCAATCTTGAGCTGTTTCCTCCTGTTATTCTTTCAGCACTGTAGAATAGTAGGTTTAATATTGCAAAATAGAGGAATTTCAAAGTATATCCAAATATATTTTAGCAGTTGAAAACAATTATTTAAGCAATTCTATTAAATTGCCAAAACACGGCACATCTAGACAGCTGTGTGTCCTAAGAAAACAGTTTATTGTTTGTTTAACCCATCTCCTTTTTCACCTTTCACCTTTCCCTTTTTGACCTTCTCTCAAGATTTCTTACTGTCTTTCTCATGTTGATAATATAAAAAATAATTGGAAAAAGACAAGAAGTTCTCAAACATTAATACTTTTCTATAAGTATCTTCCTCTGGTTCAGTCTACAGATCTGCCATTTTTATGAGACAAAGGGTTATTAATAGATTATTGGGAGGATCAGCACAGCAAAATTACTCAACATCTGTGTAATCCTACAAAAATGAAGGCTGTAAAATTTATCCGATATCTACTGTTGTCAGATGATAAAAAGACTGTAAAAAGGATGTGGCAGGAAGGAATTAGAATTAAGTAAAAGCAAGATGACAACATCCTTGCGCTAATATTTAACTTCTCTTAAATGAATATGTATTTAATATAGATTACAGTATATAATGGAACCTAATGTATGCTTTATTATAATACACTGTAATCTAATATTTGTTGGAATAGATCCTTTTCATTATCTCAGTCCTTTTTACAATAGTAAATCTTCTAAGTCTGATTCAAATTGGAAATATTTTTGCTTTCTACAACAGCCTAGTCCGCTGCAGGGCCAGAGTCTCAATGTCCACAGTAAGTTCTTGCAGTTCCTTGCCACATGGAAGAGAGCTGGCCCTGGAGAGAATCTGGTCTGTGTGATTGGTTCAAGATTTGTAGGGCTTTTTGTCGAGCCATTTTACTACTGGGAAGACACACTGCATAAAATTCTTGTTCAAGATAAGCATTTTCTCACTGAGGAAGAGTAAGAAGATGAAAAATAGATGGTTAAAGACTAAGAGTATGGGCAGGTCTAGGGCGATGCATCAGTTAGACTGTGTAAAGCAAAAATATTGAAACTATAAGATAATATTCAATCCATTATTGTAGAACTGCTCAGAGAGTGTTTCTTGTAATCAAATAATCCTTTCAATCAGAAAAACAATGTGAGTTATAATTTGTGAGGGTTTGCTACAGGATGTGAATGTATCCATGCCAACTCTGCTGTAGGAAAATCTTGTTCTTTGTCTCCAGAAAGCTGAATTTACAGTGATTAATTTTATTAGTGGACACAAGAAAGTTAAACACTAAAACAGGCTGACTCAAAATACTTGTGAAAGGTGTGGGAGTCCCTAGCTCTACAGAGAGTTATTTCTTTGAAGTGCTGAATCTTGGTGAGTGAGTTTCACCTAGGCTGGGAGCGTGGCCCAGATCCAGCTGTAGCCTCCGTCCTTACAAGAAACACAGTAGTTCACATGTTTCTAACGTCTCAGTGGAAAAAACCTGAATCACTTTGATTCAATTATGTTTGTTGTGCTACGCTGACTGCATTATCTGCCTCCTCTTTGCTCCCCAGACGTAAAGTTATTCACAGAAATCTTGCAGATTCTTCCTATAAGGGAGAGTGAATTTCTGTATGAAAGTATTTGTATAGGTCAGGGGGAATTCAGTGTCCAACAAGATGTAATTAACTGCCTTAATAGCTTGTTGAGAGAGCCTAAATTTTGATTTTTAAGGTTTGGGGTTTTTTTTGTTTTCGTTTTTGTTTGTTTGGTTTTTTGTTTTGTTTTGTTATTTTGTTTTTGTTTGGTTGGGTTTTTTTGTTTTTCTTTTTGTTTTTTTGGGTTGTTTTGTTTTTGTTTTTTGTCTGTTTGTTTTTTTAAATTTCTATTTCCACTATGTCTTATCTCTGTGCTAATGTGATTTCAATATTTATCAAAGCAAGACTTCAGCTCAGCATCACTTACCATGCCTTGTGCAATAGAATAAATATAGTCATTAAGCACATTATTCGGTTGGTTTTTTTTGAGGGAGACCTTTTTCAACTAGTGGCTGCTTGTTTGCTTTAGCTGAATGGAAAGTACATGTAGTAGAGTACTGCAAGAGGGCTATTGGAGAAAGCACGGGAAATTCTAACTTCAGCCTGCTTATTTGGCACTAACTGCATGCAATCTGTTTCTGTCCACGTGTGAGAGCTACCTTTATGTGGTCTCCTGTTCAGTGAGCCATCAAGCTGTAAGCCTCCTTTTTCAGTCTGCTGTTCACCAGAAGGCAAACCTTTAATCACCATCTTTTAAAAGAGATCATGGTTAGCAAAAATCTATTCTATTCACTTCTGTGATTATAGCAGCCAATGTGCTGCAAACTCACTAGAGTCAATTTCAAACCCATTGTAGTTTAGAAAATAAATCACTACATGGCTAGATTTTTAGGTGTTCTGGGAAAACAAACTTACCCATCTTACTCCTGTTGATATGTGTCCCAGCTGTGTATATTAAATGAGTATCTGGGAATATGTGAAGTTTAGTGCTGGTCACACCTATTAGACATCAATGAAAATATTCCCACTCAAAGGCTCTTTTGAATGAAATACATAATGATTTTCAAAGTCAAATCAGTGCTTCGTTACATCATTTTTTTATGGTAAGCCACAGTGTGGTATAAGGGAAGTGTAAATGATAACCAGATTCTGTCTGTAAATGTATTTATCTTTTCTGTTTTGATACAGTCACTGTTATGACTGTTGTCCAAGAAACTTTAGTCTCAAATGATGTTGACTTAATTCAAATAATTTTATTTTTACCAAAGCTTTTAACTGAAGAGGAAAAAAGGAGAAAAAAACCCCCATCACTTCTTAAATCTTCCTATTGTCTGACTGTCTTTGAAACATGAAGTAATAGTCATCCTTTCTGCACTACCATGGACTTATACAGCACATTCTGAATACAATAGCTGCAGCTGGAGTTATGGATAGTGTTGGATGGAGACCTATCCATGCATTGTCCATGTGTCCCAGCCATTTGCACAAATACTTTCTCTAGTGTCATTTGCACATTCTTAGTTTTAGCCCTCATATTTTGTTGTAAAGGCAACAATGATCTAAACTTTACATCAGTAATAGATTTTTCATAATGTATTTGCTGGTTACAGTTAGGAAGATTTGTGTAAATGCTCTCTGTCTAAAAATATACTTTCTCAAGGTCTCTTGACTCACTTAAGCAAACAGCCTAATGCTTTAATAAGAGACGGGTCTGATCTTTGGCCAGAAAAGCCTCAGAGATTGATTCTTTATCAGAGATAGGTCTTTATCGAAGGTCACTTTAAGAACAGAGCCAAATACAGAAGGATAAGGTAACTGCTTGCAAGACTGCCAGGCACTACAACCTGCC